TCAAAAATAAAATCAAAAAATATACGTCAGCATAGTGTACCTTCTTCTACACTAACACACTCGGTCATACAGGTACGCAACTAAATATATATATTTTTTCGTACCAAAAAATAATAGGTATACAATAAAAAAATATAAAAATAACAAGTACGCAATTATCATCAGACAGATACACTAAAATATAGATTGTCTGACAGACACACTAAAATACAGATGGTTAATGTACATTTTTCTCCATAAACACAGATTATTAGATAGGTACATTAAAACATAGATCGACAAATAGATATATTAAAACACAGATCGTTAATGTATTTTTTTTGTCATAAACACAGATCGTCAGATAGATAAACTTATATACATGTCGTCAAACAGGTACATTAAAATAAAGATCGTTAATGTACATTTTTCTCTATAAACATAGATCGTCAGACATGTATATTGCGTCACCATAATGTTCAAATTGTTTGGTTCAAGAGTTTGAATTTTAAAATTGATAGACAATACCACAAAAATCTCAACAAATTCAAAAAAATGCACAAAATTCAAAAAATATTAAATAATAAATGTAAAAATAAAAGGAAGAAATCAACCGTATTTAAAGTTAAAATTATGTGAAAGAGGTGAAGAGAATAAAAAAAACACACCAACTATCCAACTATTACATGTTCCTCTAGGGACCTAATATAAAATTTTTAAAAAAATAGAGGACCTCTGTTTATACTAAAAAAGTAATAAGATTAAAATTAGTTTATAGATTAAAAGAAGAATTCTAGCTTAATTAATTATAAAAATAATCATAAATAAATGTGATAAATGGAGCTGTAATATTAAATTTTTTTTTTTTGAGGTAGCATTGACAACTCCTAGGCTTGGATGACTATGTCAGTGGATACCCTTGGATCAATAATTCACGAAAAAAGAAAAAAAAAAAACAGTACGAGCTAATGTCTGTCAATCGACGTTAATTTGATAAACTGTTAATTTTTGTATATTTATCATTGTTCATTAATCAATCCCCAGTACTGTGGCGCAATGGAATTCTCCCTAAGAAAATGACAGTCAAAGTCAAGATGATAGTACAGTAAAAGCCTTACAAGTTTCCTAAAACAGTTGATTTTACGGGCCTACTTAAAGGTACAGATAAGCCTAAAGAAGGTGGGGATCCAGGAGGACAGCAAGTTTCCAATATCTGGAATTTTTTACAGGGTAATTTTTAAATTTTTATACTAAAATACAGTAGTTTTAAATTTGTTTAAAAACTATTACTATTTTCATAAAGTTGTATTTTTGATATACAATTTCACACTAAAAATATGCCGAGTCAATACACTTTACACTTCTTCTTTTTTGCATTGAAAGCGTGTTTCTCAAAGACACTTTTTGTTTAAAGTTGTGTCTCGAAAAAACCCATTTTCATAAAAATAACGTTAGTTTGTTAAACAAATTTAAAATTATAAAATTTTGACAAATAACTTTCAAAAATAATTGAAGTGTAGGGAAGGTGGGTGTCTGTCTAGTGTTTGGGAGAGAGAAACTGTGGTGATAGGGTGTCCATCAAACTGACAAAAATGAAAATGAAAGTACATGACGAGAGAGAAGTGACAGAAGAAGAGACAGGGCACCTATTCCCTAGATGGTCTTTTTCTTTTCGCACACCGCATGGCGTCTTGTATATGTTGTAGTCTAGGATACTAGGGTTCTTCATTATTGGAAGGTCTGAAGGAGCTGAACTCAAAGTAGGCTCAGAAGCTAAACGTAGGTCGTCTTTTTTTTTTTTCAGTTGTTGCTGTTGCTTGAGTAGGCTGTAGGCCACCTTTTTTTTTTTTTTTGGTTACACAGTATTTAAAGTTGTAAGGATAATTTAATGATCGACGGATAAATTATAATTTTTACTCCTATGCTCATAGTGCAAGTTGCGATGAGGTATATTTTGGATTAATAAGTCTCAAATTAAGTTAAAATATTGAACTAACTAATAATATAAGGGTGTGTTTAGATTAGATATTAGGACATATCGGATTGGATAACTCAATTCATTTTTTACCCATTCAGTTGGAAAAGAAAGATAAATTTAAAATTTATGTCTTCTTGTTTCATGTGATGATTCAAGTATTAAGAATTAATAGACCTCACATTTATTTCATCAACTATGTCAGTTGAACGAAATATTGAATTATAGTATAAAAATTAAATTATTAAAAAATACTCAAATTAAAAAATGATATTTATATCCTAAAAATTCTTGAGGATAAAAATATCTTTTGTCCAAACACACTTTAACTGAATTATTTAAACTCACCAAATATGTTCTGACCAAAAAAAAAAAAAAACACAAAATATGTGATTTTATTTAAGAAGATGTATGTGATTATAAATTACTATTCATCCACCCTTAAACTATTTATGGGTAATAATATCAGGTCTAAAATATGTATCCAAACATGAATATAAATGAGATAAGGTCGTCTTCCCCCTCCCCCAAAAAAAATAAAATGAGGCAAGGTGAGTCTAGATATTTTTTTTTTATCCCTCTTCCTTAATATCTAAAGCAAACACGAATATCATTAATTTTTGGATGTTTGGTCCATTTGTGAAGTCGAATCACTTGTATACTTGTGTTTTATTTTTACTTTCTGTTTTTTATAGTCAGTTTATCTAGTATAATAAGTTTCTTCATTGTATTACAGAAATTGATCCTTCTTGCTACTTTTTTTTCCACACAATTACGACCCACAGTTTCTGTACCTTTTTTTTTTTTAATTTGTTCCACGAGTTGATTTAACTCCAAAGTGCCATGGATCCACTTTTTCATTGTTTTTTCTTAGTTGAACTAGGGTAAAATGCTTGTTTATCTTGATAGTTTCGGTTCATATTTAATATAAAAGAAAAAATAAATGTTTTATCTTTTTTAAAAGATATGAAGTGTATCACTTCTAATTTTTTTTTACTTCTTCATTGACCCNTTCATATTTAATATAAAAGAAAAAATAAATGTTTTATCTTTTTTAAAAGATATGAAGTGTATCACTTCTAATTTTTTTTTACTTCTTCATTGACCCTACCCAATACAATGTCATGGTAAAAGTAATATTCCTAACCATTGGAAGTCAAGGTTTAACTTAAGTTGAATACTTAGTTACATAACTAAGAAATTTACATCAAGTTAAAGACAAATCGAGTGAAAACAAGATTCATTATACTAGAATTAAATTTTTTTTCATAATTTAATTTTTAGAAATTATCAAAATTCGAATTTAAACGACTGTGTTACTAAATGCCTAATGGATTATTTTTGGTGTTTTTTTTGTTGAATTTGGTGTTTTTTGTTGAATGATTTTAGGATATTTTTGAGCATAAAGCCTAGAAAAAACTGATTGGCCTTTTGCCCGGAAACAATTTGGCTATTGAATTCATCAACGCTACGGCTACCTACCGTGTGGTTCAGCTCCCCGTGACAAAACCACGCCAATGGTNAAACAATTTGGCTATTGAATTCATCAACGCTACGGCTACCTACCGTGTGGTTCAGCTCCCCGTGACAAAACCACGCCAATGGTGCTGATACGGAATACGGACCCGAATTTCTAATCACTGGGATCTGTCACCGTTGTGGTCCCCGAATCCCCACGTCTCACGTACTTCTCTGAATTTGTCTACTTGCTGATGTGGGAATTCCAAGTGCGTGTGGCTTCGAATAGTGGTTATGTACACGTGTGGCTCTTTGCTTAATTTTTTAACAATGTATTAATATTGCTATAATGTGTTGTTTCAATTTTCTTTCATCGTTCATTTTGTCAATTTTAATGAGGTAGTTTTTGACAGAATAAATAACGTAAGCTAATAGAATGATAAGTTTATAATAATTTTAATACGTTTAAGTTATACAATATGATTTCCCCTAGAAGGTCTGTAGTTAATTTTAAATACATCTTTGAAAGCTGTTAACTCTTTTAGAATACTTTAGTTTGGAAAAATACTTGGACATTTTGCCATTACATGGGACAACCATAATTTTGTTTGAGCTTCATAGTAAGCAAGATAAATGGAAAAGAACGTTTTTAAACCTTCTCAACTTAGAATGTTCCTCAATTGCGGGTAAATTAAAATATTTACTATTGAGGATGTATAAGTTCGAAATGTGAGAGGTGTTTGAAGAGCTCGGGACTTAGAAATAATAATAGTGTGTGAGTGTATACATAGTGAATAAGAAATCAATTTTGACGACTGAATCTGATGACTTTTTGATATTTTACAGTAGGGGTAAAAGCTGGGAAACAAATAAGAATACAATTTGTTCAATCCCTTGACATGGGAAAACGAATAAGAATAAAATAATTATTAGACAATTTGTATTAGATAACGCCAGAAGTTCTAAAGCAGAATTTGGTTATACTACTACACATTTGAGGTGAATGTGTGATGGTCATGGGGCAGGTTCGTCCTTTCGTTGAAAGTTTTGGAATTCAATTTTATGCAGATTAATTATATATATATATTTTTTATGGTTATTGGGTATGGTGCTAATAAATTTAATTGTGTAATTTTTTTATAAAATATGAAATTATCATAAAAATAAAAATAAATTCAATTATCATAACAAGCTTAGTTTATTTGAAATTATAAATGAGAGTTTAAGTTATTATTTTCTTTTTTTTAAAGGTTTTAGGACTTTTATTATTTGATATTTAAAGGTCAATTAAATCAAATATCTTAGTTTATTTAAGTTTTGTTTTGTGGGATCCATATTGATTTGAAATTTTGAGTAATACATTTTCTTTGTACATGGATATATGTTTGTAATTTTTTTATGAATTATACAGTGTTTTCAGATATCAGCAATTACTGGTGAAATAATAAACAATCAAAATTGTTTGTAATTGACAAAATTTAATTTTTTTTGATAAGTGATAAATTTTGAAATTAGTAACATCTGACCCCACATAAAAAAAATAAAAAAATGAGATGATAAACCCATGTTGGCCCTTTGGTTGGGGACCCCCACACACCCCACCATTGTTAAAAGGCCTTGCTCAGGCGAGCTTCTCTCTCACTCTCTGAAGACTGAAGTTAATCAAGAACAGAACAAGAAAGCGAACCCCAAATTAACTGCTCTCTCTTACTTTCAAAGTTCAAACTCTCTCTCCCAAACTTTTCTTCGCTCTCTTTTGTTTTCCTTTCCGTTTCTCCTTTTTCATTCTCAACTATCTCGGAAAATCAGCTCTGAACATCAGTCTACACTGTAAACACAATCTCTGTCTTTGTTGTTGTTGTTGTGGTTGTGGTTTGTGTGGGGAAATGTATGCTTTAGACTTCGATAACGTGAAGGTCGAAAAGGCGAACGCGATGATAAGGTATTATCGCCTTCGAAACCTTGCGAAATTATTTCGCATCGTTGAGGTCTGCCTTATTCTCGTGTTCCTGTCTTGGTCTTCCACTCGCTTGCCGTTCGCAGTTAGACTCTCCGGCGAGTACTTCCGACTGCTCATTGGTATCATCGTTAGTCCTTTCTTCATATTTTTACTCAGCAACGCCATCGTCGTCGTTCTTGTTGTCAATTCCGGCCAATTCTCCGGCCAAACACCGAGTAGTGAGACTGAGAACAATGCCGAAACCAATCTATGTGAAGAATTTATCAATAGCAGCGACAATCGTATCGTGTACGGATCGGACGGTTGTGCTTCGGTGCCGGAACCTGAGGACATTGTGTACCAGGACAAACAGATCATAAGCGAAAGCAACACCTCCACAATTCCTAAATCCGATAGCTCTGAAGTTCCGGCAATGGTCGTTGATAAGGTCTCGGAAGCGAAAGCTCATAGAAGAAGCCAGTCGGAGAATTTTGAGAGGGAGAGTTCGAAGGAGAATTGTGGGAAACTCCGGCGATCAGTAACTGAGAAATGCCGAAATCTTTCAAATTCCGGTGATACTCCGGGGGAGACGGTGCACCTGGTGGACAAACTGAGTAATGAGGAATTTCAGCAGGCTATAGACGAGTTCATAGCCAAGCAAGTCAAGTTTCATCGAGAGGAGAAATCGGCCATTGTTCTCCATAGCCAAATCTGAATCACCGTACGCATTTCAAACTCCACCCAAAAATTCATGATTTTCTTGTTGCTTTTCCTTCCTGTTTTTTCTACTTTCATTCTGGTTTGTGGATCCTATCCTATGTACAGTTATAAATTCTCAACTAAATGTGGACGAAACAATTGGGGGAGTGATTTGTCTATTTCAGTTAATTAAGTGGGTTAAAAATGTAATTTTCCAGAGCAATTTTCTTTTGAGATCAAGTGGATGGCACTTGGTAGTATTGATGAGGACTGTTACTCTGGGCCAAAATGCTAATTACTGGAATTAGTGGGTAAAAGATTTGGAAATAGGTGAAAGTGATGATGGGAGAATTTTGTCTGGGCAAATTAAGGGTATAAAAAAAAAGATGGTGAAGCATTTGTGATTTAGTGAGATGGATGTTTGGGGTTAGAACTAGTTATGATGTTATGGAGATGTGTTCTAAGATTCCTCTAAAGTGATGATGTGAAAGAGTGCATGAATATGCTTTGCCACAAGGGGGTTGATCTCATTCACAAGAATATCAGCTTTAAAAAATGTAGTGTTCTTCTCCTAACATTTTGATTTATATTCCAGAGTTATCTCAACCACGCACGCATGTATTAGTATAGTTAGACACAATTTTTTGTTGTGAATAATCAAATAAAGAAAAGTTATTAAACACAATAAATATAAGATTTACTTAGTTCGATTAAAATTTTACATATTTTCACCGTTTCACTATATTAGAATTCCAATAAAATTATAATTTATTGAAAATACTATTTGTAATTAATTTGAGAATATAATTCGGAGACCTAATCAATTATAGTTGTTTTATTAAAAATAATTTTTATTTAATATTGAAATTTACAACTAATATAATAATTACTTTAAATTAAGTTCTCAAATTATATACTTATAATATTGTTCCTAATTTATTAATAGGAACTAGTTAGTATCCATAATCTTGATCCTACTAGAAAATCGGGCGTGTTTTGCGAACAACTCAGAAGTCCATCCCGTAGATGCAAGCACTTCTTTAAGAGATAAAATTATTCTCTACTCCACTTCGCTAAGCTCCGCTCTACTCATTTATCCATTGTCTTTCAAAATATTTTTGCCATGGTGTATGCTATACTCCGTTGGGGGCTGTGAACTGCAACTATATAAATCTGATTAGAATGACAGTTTTTTTTTTTTAATTAATAAAGGAAAAGTAGAAGATGAGATTCAAATTCACAATCTTAAAGTCCGACAGGGAAGCTCGAATAACACTTCATTCAGTCGGTGCTGTATATAACATTGATGATTTCGGTATGGATAATTGCCGGGTAGCTAACAATGGCAACCAAACTGGGACCTTCCATCTATGTTGGTGTATTTTGGCACATAAAGCTATAGCTTGCCAGAAAGTTTGGTCTCTAAGTTCAACTTGAATGATTATGCTTCTCAAATAGAGGAGGACTACATGCCAGCCTCCTTTGGGGTCACAATAATTCAAACTTTACATAATTCATAGGAGTAAAATTACATGTAATTTTTTTTTAATATAAAAAAAACAATCTTGTACACTATGTATGAATCAAACATACACGACTTTTATCTAATTTTAAACTAGCAATTTTGTATACGATCTACGAACTTGTCAAAAAAAAAAAAGTGAGTTCAAGTGATAAACAAATTGATTCATTAGATGCGTCACATTAATAAATCAACATCAATCTAGTTAAATATATTACGAATCCATTAAACATGATTTTTATGAACACAAATTTAATATAATACGATTTAACTGTATGATTATAGATAAATTGAGTATAAATTTAAATTATGATATAACACAATTTACACACAATAAAAACTTGATACAAAATAATTTTTTTTTGACTTTTTTGAGTGCCCTTCATAGCCCATGTGATGAAAATATGTTCTATGGAAAAAAAAAACACTATTTAAACAAAATGATCACCAAAAGAACAAACTCATCTTGTATAGAAACATCTAAACAATTTGAACACTAGGCAGTTTAGCCATCTTGTCATGTTTAGCTGCCTCTTTTTGTTGCTATTTGGGCTTTGTCATCATTGTCTAATAACAAACCTGATTATTGATATGATACCAGTTCAGTTGCATAACTCTTTTCTGTTTTTTTGGAACTGGCCTCGGATATGAATTATAGTCAAACCAAGCTTTCATCATGGTGCTGCTAACCACTGTCCCCCACTCACAGATGGTAACCTTTTTCTGCTACCAACATTTGGTGAAACACTTGCTTGGTTAGTCCAGTCTGATTTGGGATTAGTTTGGAAAGAATCATAAATTTAACATTTTTGAGTTTGACTTTCGATAATGACTCTTGAATTTAATTGATATATATGTGATTAATGATTAATTGTATTATCTAATTTTATTTTGGAGTGGGTCTGATATGAACTGCTCATTAAAAAAGAAAAGAAAAGTAAAAAAAAGGGAGTGCGTGAGGTTTGTAGCTATCAAAAGCACTAATCATTGATTATACAGTAATAATGTTCCACGCCTTGTGTACTTCACTTTCACAATCTCCCTAATCTCTGAAGCAAAAGTTGCTTTTACACTTCAAAAGAGAGATTAGATTCTTAGTGAAGTGACTAGCATTTTTTCTCCTCTCTCTCTCTCTTTTTGGGGGCACAATCATGACTAATTCCACCATGAATGTCAATTGGGAATTTAGAAGTAATTATAGCTATCTCGTGGGATACCAAAGGCCAACTTAGACAATACTTTTACATGCAATAATGATCTTTCAAGGGACATGTCAAACGCCTCGCCCACTCTTTTTCCTTGATGTTTCTTTGTGCTTTCTTCTTTATGTTTCTATGTGATTGATAAGAGCCTTCCGGTGCATATATACATATTAGGGTAGCGGTGGGTGCCAACTGATAGCCTTTTTTTGTGTATAGGTTGTGTATATTTTGTGTTTAGGATTGGATTTATGGTGTAGAATCTAATTACTGAGTGGGATAATTTAATGGGATATCAATTGATTTTTTTATTTTGATGTTGAAGATTTGAATATTAGAATTCACATAAGGGTTCAATGGTTGATCGTTATATTAGTTTAACTACGTTTATTCTCCGATAAGAGTAACAAACACTATCAGAGGCTCACGATCTCACGAGTGAGAGTCTATTGTGGTGGTCTCCAGACATTCTCATTTCTTCTCACCCCTTTTTTAAAAAAAAAAAAAAAAAAAAAAATTTGCGGTTATCTAGTAGTTTGATAAACATAATCTAAAAGAAAAACTTTTGTTGATTATTTAAACTTAAGGGTCGACATCACGCTGGGCTGGCCCGATCTGGTCCATCAATTGCAACCCTTATCGAACTGTGGAGCCAGCCGGTTTGACCGAAGAAAGGCCGACCCTAATGGTCTTTTAAGTGGCATATAATAAGATTTCTTTTATATTATCATTTCAATTAATCTATTTCTATATGCACTGGCAATATAGGACGAATAAATAAATTTAAATAATATTTTTTATAAAAAATATAAATTATATGTATAATTAAATTAAACAATAAATTAGAACTCAAATAATTAATTTATATTTTAATTATTAATTTATTATATAAAACTTTGAGTACTTAATTTGTCATTTATTTAAATATTTCTCCATCCCTTTTAGAAATTTGCATATTAATTATATTATAATATTATTAATTTTTTATTTTTTAAAATAGATTGATTAGATCGCTTATAATACTATTATATTATTGCATACAAAAAAATATAATATAATATATATTTGACCATATAATTTAATCTGATAATTACATTTGCATAATAATTTAACATATATATAAGATTTTACTTCTTCATATAGATATTAAAAATGTATATAATTATATAACTAATAAATGAATTCAAAAGAATTTAAAAGTTCTTATAAAAGAATTCAAAATAAGTTGAAAGTCAAATAAGAGTAAAAAAAATTAAATGAATATATATATATATATATATATATATATTGGTGGGTATAAAATTGAATTTTTTATAATAATTAAGAATCAAATTTTTTTTCGTAGATGCTGATATTTATAAGTAGTATAGATAAATATAGATATATGTATATATCTATCTATATCTATATTTATACCACTTATAAATATCATTATCTATGAAAATTTTTAATTTTTAATTTTATTCATAGTTATTATAATAAATTCAATTATACCTACCAATATACTTTCTTCTAATTTTTGTTTTTTATACTTTTCAACTTGGTTTGAACTCTTTTAGAAAGACTTCTAAAATTATACAATTATCTATATCTATATTCTATATGAAGAAATAAAATTATGTATATGATAAGTATTATATACATGTAGTTATCAAATTAAATTCAATGGTCAAATATATGAAATATTTTATTTTTTTGTATGTAATAAACATAATAATATTATAAACGATATAATTAATCTATTTAAAAAAATAAAAAATAATAGTTATATAATATAATTAGATGTACAAATGTTTAAAAGTGTCGAAGAGATACCTAAATAAAATTTATAGAATAAATCAATAATTAAATTTAGTAATAATTAAAATATGAATTAATTATTTGATACTCAATTTATTATTTAATTTAATTACACATATAATTTATATATTTTATAAAAATAATATTATTTAAATTTATTTATGTTCAATGTACGTCGTGTACTGTTAGAACAACAAAAGCATAGTTCCCAAGAAAAGAAAAAAAGGGTTTTTAGAAACCGGTACACCTAATTAGACTTATTTGACAAAAAATACATATTAAAATATGTTTTGAAAAAAAGTACACTAGTTAGATACAAAGACATAAATGCCCATTTTAGAGAAAGTGGTGCATTAAATATCTCCTAGTTTTATGGAAAAACTTTAATATTTAATGCACATTGATTCATATATATATATACACGTATAAACAAGTATATATATATGTTAACATTGAAAGTGTAACACTTTCACACTTTTTCAATTAATTAGCATTTTTAGTGTAAGATGAGACATGTATAATTTGTTTGTGTAACACTTTAAGTAATATCTCCCCTTACCTTGTGTAAATAACTTGTTACATTGTTATTGTTACACTGTTATTGTTACTTTTAATATTACCTTATAACACTTTACACTTTCCATTAAAAAATGTGAGACATAAGATAGTACTTTACACTTTCAAAAATGTTACACTTTACAGGTATATATATATATATTAATAAATATACATGAATCAAGGTGTATTAAAATACTAAAGTTCTCCCATAAAATTAGGAGATATTTAATACATCACTTTTCAAAGAACATACACATGAATCAATGGAGAACAAAAATGTCACAAAAAAATGAGGCAAATTCAAATTGTGTACTTAGATACAAATAAGTATCAAAATTAAGGACTTAATAACTCGACATTTTTTTGTGTGTATTTTTTGCCAAATAAGTCTAATTTGGTGTACCTCCTTACAATTTACTCATAATAAAAAAATGGTAAATTGTAAGGGGTACATCAAATTAGACTTATTTGACAAAAAATACACGCTAAAAATGTAGGGTTATTAAATGCTTAATTTTGATATTTATTTGTATCCAAGTACATAATTTGAATTTATCTATTTTATTGTGACATTTTTACCCTCTATTAATCCATGTGTATTTAATGCACCATTTTTCTTTGGAAAGTAGTGCTTTAAACATCTTCTAGTTTTATGGAAAAACTTTAATATATATATATATATACTTGTTGTTAAATCTCTTATCTATATTTTGAATTATCTTTTAATGCACCTTGATTCATGCATTTTTTTTTAAAAGTGATTTTATTTCAAATTAATTTAATATCCGAATAGTGTAATAGTGTAACAATAACAATATAACAATATAAAGTGTAACAATGTAACAGTATAACAATAATAGTGTAACAAGCTATTTATACAAAATATTGTACTATTACATTTTATCAAACATATAGTTTCATATATTGTCATTCAAAATAGTCCATCTTCATTTTGAATTTGTTACCATATACACAAAATTACTGAATACTGTTTTTGTTACAGTGTATTTGTTATACTGCTATTGTTATACTATTACATTATTTGGATATTAAATTAATTTGAAAATAAAACTATTNTCCATTTTGAATTTGTTACCATATACACAAAATTACTGAATACTATTTTTGTTACAGTGTATTTGTTATACTGTTATTGTTATACTATTACATTATTTGGATATTAAATTAATTTGAAATTAAAACTATTTTTCAAAAAAAAAAACGCTTGAATCAAGGTGCATTAGATATAATTTAAAAACAAAATCATTTTTTAAAAAAAAATACGTATCAATCAAGGTGCATTAAAGATAATTCAAAATTTAAATAAGAGATTTAANTTTTTAAAAAAAAAATACGTATCAATCAAGGTGCATTAAAGATAATTCAAAATTTAAATAAGAGATTTAATAATATATATATATATGTGTGTGTGTGTGTGTGTGTGCCTATATATATTCGTATATATATGTATATATATATATTAACAAATACACATGAATCAAAAGTGCATTAAATATGTGTTTATATATATTAATAAAAACACATGAATCAAGGTGCATTAAAAATAAGAGATTTTGAATTAAATGACCCTAAAATAGGCATTGATGTCTTTTTAACTCATATTTTATTTTATGTAACTTTTGTTAAATAAATCTAATTAGGTGTATCGACTTTCAAAGAACTCCTAAAAAAAGCATAGTTTTGGGAATTATGGTGGACCAGTCAACAACCTCCTTGGACCGGGCCAGCTAACTATTGGGTCAATTCAATCAAAACGAGACGATGACTCATTGTGACTAGTCGGGTTGGGCTATGACCCAATATTCTGACGGGCTTTTGGAAACCACCCTTTTACTAGAGGGNATTTTTGTCAAATAAATCTAATTAGGTGTATCGACTTTCAAAGAACTCCTAAAAAAAACATAGTTTTGGGAATTATGGTGGACCAGTCAACAACCTCCTTGGACCGGGCCAGCTAACTATTGGGTCAATTCAATCAAAACGAGACGATGACTCATTGTGACTAGTCGGGTTGGGCTATGACCCAATATTCTGACGGGCTTTNCTAACTATTGGGTCAATTCAATCAAAACGAGACGATGACTCATTGTGACTAGTCGGGTTGGGCTATGACCCAATATTCTGACGGGCTTTTGGAAACCACCCTTTTACTAGAGGGACTCACAAATTTCCCAATTTTAGACTATATAACTTCCTCGGTTTATTGAAATATCAATACAATTTTCTTTGATGGGTCATTTTGATTATTAGCATTGAAATATCAATACAATTTTGATTATCCAACCCCAACCATATGTACTTATAAATAAATATATTACAAATTTAAGTGATTATTCGATGTAATTGAGTTCTAATTCAAATTTAATGTGCCCAAACTTAGCTTTTATACATAATTCAAATTAGATCTTTAAATATCATACTTGACTTTTGTTAGATTCGGACATTTACTGTGAAAACACGACCCCATTGAATTTTTTAGATTGTATTCGAATTTGAGAGTTATACAATTGGATACTTTGTTTCGTAACNTGAAAACACGACCCCATTGAATTTTTTAGATTGTATTCGAATTTGAGAGTTATACAATTGGATACTTTGTTTCGTAACTTGTTGCTTCTCTCGATTGAATGTTAGTCTAACCTACTACGAGGATCCAGTATCCAACAACCCAACTAAAAAGTGTTTTAAAAATAAGTTTTTCAATTAAAAGCTTGTTTTTTTTAAAAAAAAGGTAGATGAATAAATAACTCTAATAACCAAGAGAATTGTGAATAGTAAGATATCCTGGTATGGTCAACAGGTTATTTTTGACATCTCAATTGATAAAATATGTATATGGACTAGGGGTATCTCGTGTTTGACAACATAATATAATATAAGTGAGAAGTGATAAATTTAGGTGAGAGGAAAATTCAATGTGAATAATTTTAGAAATGTTAGTGGCTGTTGGATAAGTTTATTTGAGACCGTCAGATAAAAATATTAAAATATATTTTATTTTATATTATAGATAGATGTTTTCATTATTTCCATTTTTTCATCATACAAATATAACTTGCACTTAATAAAATAATTTTATTTGATGGGAAAAAGAAAATTTTCTTCCCATGAAAATAGAAAATACATCTCTTCTAATTTCTTTTCTTCAAGTTTTCTATCGTTCTCATGAATCTCATCAAACGGAAGATAAGCATGAAGTTTAACAAAAAAAAATAAAATAAAATCAGGAGAGTAGCAATTTTTTTTTTCTTTTTTGGAAGGGAGGAGAGAGAGTATCAATTAAGAAGGTGGTAAAAGGATATGCATTTTGCATGGATATCTATGATTTAATTGCAGCTAAGACCAAAGACCTACACAGAGGGCAGGTGAAGTTATTCCGATCAAGCCACCCCTGAATACACTTCACGTGAAACAAGTGCCCACATCTATGGAGTTGGCTTACCAAATCTTGCCTCTCGAACTCCACCAAGCAAACACTACACATCTCCTCCTCCTCCTCCTCCTCCTCTTTGCCGCCCTCCAAATCCTCAAATCTGACAGCTGAAAAATCTACCAGCTGCAAGCTCCTTTCTTGATGGCCGGGCTTTGTCTCCGGCCAATGGCATGTGTAAAACACGAACCCTGCGGCAATCTCAAACAATGTCTTTTTCATATGAAGGAGTGGAATCCATATACATGTGTAGAAGATGATGGTAACAGTTGACAGACTAGATTGAGGAGCATGTACCAGAGATATCATTTTTGCTATATCCTCTCTCTCTGGATTATTTTTTTTATTTTCTGGTTCAGCACGAACCAATCAAGAATTTTATGTGAAAAGGACCAACGAAGATGAAAGAAGAGTATAGGGGTAGGAGCTTATGTGAGAGAGAATAGAGATGTAGATCTTCATTTATATAGCAAATATTGTTGCAGGGTCAACTGCAATATTTCCATGGTTTTTGACAATATCTTATGCGTTTCTTTAATACTTAGCTAACGTTTGACTTTTTTGGCTGTTGAGGAAATCGTTTTATAAACGAAAAGTGAGCAGATTAAGGGGGTTTGAATTTCGTGCATCATATGGGTCTGTGAATTTTGTACGAATATTTAGATGAGTGTCATTATCACACAATGAATCTGGGGAATGCAAAGGCCGGCGCCGCCCCCCCCAAGTCTTCTGTTTCTCTTTAATTTAAAAACCAGGAAACACCACCAGGAAGCATGATTAATCATGATTTCAAATATTATCACCGAGTCAACTCGACTTAACGAGGAACATTAAGACNATTCCCAACAAACTGTTCTCTCTCTCTCAGCCATGGCTAGAAAAGCTGATACATCTCATATTGATGATCCATCTTCACTGGAGACACAGATGATCCCGATGCTGCTGTAGGTGATCAGTGATGTGCATGACCATAGTACTTTTTATCTTTTTTTCGTTTAATAGTGAGGTGTATTCTGATCAGTTTACGTGTACTTCTTTGGTTTAGTTAAAAGCAGACCATTCACGCTGAAACTAGGGTATTCACAAAGGACTCATGACCTAATCTCAAGGAGTTGCCAAAATTTGAATTATATTTACAATTCGTTCTTATTCACCCTTAATTTATCCTTTGGGTTTACCATAATACTTTTATCGATAAATCATGTATGAACCATGACAAATATCAAATTGGTATTCTCTCTTTGTTTCTTCTCTTTTTTATTTTTTTTGGGTATTGGTGGGAATCTCTATTTTGCTTGCCCGTCTGCTTCATCTATTCTTGTTTATTGTCAACTATAACCTGCCCAACGGCCCAACAAAAATTGAATATTTTAAGTTATAATGTTTTCTAAGTTTCAAGTTATTCATTATATTTCATGCTACAATTCGATTATTAGCTTTCTTTAAAAAGGCCACAAGTCCACTTGACCAGTATCCGATACAATGGGCTGCACTACGGGCCATAATTTGAGTGTAGGGCCCATATTCGGCCTTTCCATGAGATGGCCTTGAAAAAAGGTCAGTCTGGCCCAACCAAAAAATTTCCAATATATACTCATCTTTTTTTTTTTTTTTTTTAGTTTGGATTCATACTTAGCTTAGTAAATTAGATTAATGAATTAGATGCAAGTAATGTTTTTTTTGGGCCAAGTGATGCAAGTAACTTTACTTTTCAAAATTTGCTACCCATGACTATCGGGACCTATTTGGTGCAATTTATGACTCGAGCCAGGCACGTAAATGACCAAATGGTGAAGAGGGTTTTGGTGTGAGAGTTTGAGTTGGGGTTTGGATCGGGGGAGGCGAGGTGGGTGGGTGGTTGCAGTTCAGGGAAGTGGTGGTTGTTCGGGTTAGTTTGCCAAGAGGGAGCAAGAACGGTTATCATATGGAATTTGAAAAAATCAAGGAATGTTGAGAGTTGGATAAAATTTCCCTCGAGTTGGGCAAATTGATTCTCCTAAAAGACTACAGCGAGTTACCATCAAGGGAGCAGTACCATTCCTAAAGGATCCTTCTTCTTCCTAAGTATTGAACAAAATAAAAGTTCACTTATACAAGAGTTCAGGTCAAGAGATGATCGACTATAACTATAAGTAGACGCTTCAAAGACTATACCCCCATCTACATCATTGCAAGCTTTGTTTGCACCACTGACAAAACTCCCTATCTTATTCTGGTGAACTTGAAAAGCGGCTTGATCAAGCCTATATTTGACTGCCAATTAATGATAAAAACGTTGATCATAACAAGAGATACAAAATAAAGATCAAATGATGTGATGCTGACATAGAAAGCAAAATTCAAATTTTAAATGAACGAATGAGACCGAAAGCACCACCATATTAGTGCCATTTGACCTAATCTAAATTTACATTATTGTATGATGAAATTGAATAGAAATTTAGAGGTAATTTGTTGAAAAAATAGTTCAATTACGTTATTTTGGATCTTATTTTGGATTTTTGTTATGGATTTGGGTGTGGATTGCAAAAAAAAAAATATATATATACTAGATATTTAGATGAGATTTGCATCGAAGATTTCAAATCCACTTCCCAAAATTCAATCAATTGATAAACCTGACTAGAATGTTATAATCAGATGGCAATCCAAAGGGAATGATATTGATGCGAGGTAAAACTAGTGTAATTTATGCGGGATATGTTAGAAGTTAGGCCAATATTCAATCCACACCTTAAAAAGTTGCTGATTAAGGGAACAAACCAGGAAATTAATAATCCACTTATTAGTTTATTTTAAAGTACATTGGAAACTCATAGACACAAACAGAAACCAATTTAGTTTGTGGAAGCCCACAAGCTAGCATTACACTCACTTCTACACAATTAGCACACAGATATGGATTGAACAATATTACAAACAAGCTATTTTGATGATCATTACCCCTTTTTAGTCATTGCAATAGTGACATTGATGAACTCAATTCTTTCTTTGGACATTCTATCAGCCACAATCTTTTTGTACCTGCAGAACACCTCGTTGATTATGGTTGCACCAAAGTGATTGAGAAGCAAGGGTTCAGCCACATCTCTCATGCACTTTGTAACATTGTATGCACCGTTCTTATAGGAGTCCGATGCAAATAATTCATTGTCGTAGGCATTCCAATTGACTTCAGAAACCTTGAGGCGGTCGATTCCAAAAGATCCTTCCATTTCGACCTCGGATTTTACTTCTGTTGGGGATGGTGTGTACTGAGGGATGTTGAATGAATCCAGTTTCTCTTCTTCTATGAGGCCCTACATTGATGTTAACATTAGAAGGTGCATGATTTTATGCATGTGAAGTAGAAATAAGATTCAATTTGATGGGAACAAAGTGGGTATGCATAGCATACCTACAAGTACTTTCAAGTTCCTCATCCATATTAACGAAGAATAGGTCAATTAAAAGTGTATTTAGAAAAAGCCTCCCGAGTGCGAGTATAAAGTGTTGTCTGTAACACCTTCGTTGTCTGTTATAAGATAGTCTGGTTGTCTTCGTCTAACCATGTTTTTTTAATGGAAGACAAAAGCATTTTATCCTCAGGTGTCTTTTGGTTTATTTCAGCAAAACCATTTTTGAACATTAAAACCATTTTTGGATGAAAAAAACCAGTTTTCGATTATTTCAGGTGTCTTTTGGTTTATTTCAGCAATTTTTGAACAGAGAAAAACTTATGCAAAAAAATTTATTCGGACATTAAAGTGATGGTCATTGTCAATAAATTATCACACTAAAGAACTTGGCCACCGTCATTCTTGTCATCTAATTAACAAGATACCGTTAAACCTTGTTAGCTATAAGCCAAATGAAAAACCCTTTCAGAATCCAGAAGTAAAGATGTTCAGATTCTTTTAGGTCTAAAATTTGTGTCATTTAAATTTTATGTAAAATCCGATTTCGATTTCTTCACAATTTCAAGTCTTTTTTTTTTTTTTTTTCAGTTTCTGTCAAGTTGAATTATACACAGTGATAGTTCAACCACCCACCGTTCAATTCACCGGATCTTATTGAATGTCAATATGAGCTATAAAAGTACAGCAGGGAAAACTTTAAGCTAAAACTCAACAAAAATTGATAAAATTCAAAATTATGAGGATCTAAACCCATTTTATGTTATATCAGAAAAATAACATGTCAATTAAAAGTTTTATATTTGAATATTTTGCACATTAAAACTCTTTTTTTGATAAAAAAAAAAAAAACTAGTTAAAGTTACAAAACTAGATAATTAAGGTTACGAGAATGTTATATTCTAGACTCGATAATTTGTGCCCTTGAGTATCTATCTTTCTCGTGAGTATATTTCACAAGCTTTCTGACTTGTCTTGAACTAAATTTTATAGCCCAATATTTTGATCATTAAAAAAATTTTTTTGAATGAAAAAAATTATTTTTCGATATTTCTTCGCAACTTTTGAACAGNGCTTTCTGACTTGTCTTGAACTAAATTTTATAGCCCAATATTTTGATCATTAAAACAATTTTTTTGAATGAAAAAAATTATTTTTCGATATTTCTTCGCAACTTTTGAACAGTGAAAAACTTATGTAGAAAAGTTTATTGATGTAAGAGTCATAGATGAAACTCCATTTATTTGTAGCTTGTAATCAGCACTACTCAATAGAGACATTGATACAACTTCCAAGAATCTACCCCTTAGAGCATTGAAAAGTACTGTAACCATCAACTTGCTTATATTGAAAATTTTAAGGTTGTTGGAGTCAAGATTGACAGTCTTTTTTAATAATAGTTTCCAGGTTAATGTACTTCAAATGTTAATATAGGACATTAAACTGGCCGTCATTGTCAATTATNTGAGCATTGAAAAGTACTGTAACCATCAACTTGCTTATTTTGAAAATTTAAAGGTTGTTGGAGTCAAGATTGGCAGTCTTTTTTAATAATAGTTTCCAGTTTAATGTACTTCAAATGTTAATATAGGACATTAAACTGGCCGTCATTGTCAATTATTGTCACGTTCAATATCCTAAGTAATGGCCGGTTTAATTATGCACCGTCAAATTAATTGGATCTTATCGAGTGCCAATATGACCTACAAAAAGACAATAGTGAAGGCTTAATCTATATAATAATGGAGAAGTAAACTCAACTAAAATTGATAAGCTTCAAAATTGTGAGAATCGACCCAAACCCATTTTATTTTATATCAGGTAAAGAAGGAAAAAAATTGAGGGTTTCAGTGAAAGATTAGTATACCTCTGAAACCATGTCATTAAGTGTTATAGCTAAAAGCTNGCAAACTCAACTAAAATTGATAAGCTTCAAAATTGTGAGAATCGACCCAAACCCATTTTATTTTATATCAGATAAAAAAGGAAAAAAATTGAGGGTTTTAGTGAAAGATTAGTATACCTCTGAAACCATGTCATTAAGTGTTATAGCTAAAAGCTCCCAAATGTAACAACACTCTTCGCTAGAGGGATCTTCACTTTTCCTCCCAAGAAAAGTTAGAACCATTCGGCCTCCGGTGACTAGTTCCTTGGAACGACACTTTAGGAACAATGAGAAATCTCTTTGAAATTGTTCATAGTATGCTTTTAGCACACTTGGCGGGCTTGTACTTGCCATGTAAATGTTCTTTTTGTTATTTTCTATCCCTTCAGAACCTGATAAAACAAAAATCTTGAAATTATATTTATTCATTTGTTCAACGATCGTAAGTTTTGATATTTCACTCAGTTAATAGAGTAGAAACAATGAAATTTTTTTTTTTTAATTAGAACACACCGGACCCATATGGTATAATATTATTTATTTTGGGTTAGACNTTGGAACGACACTTTAGGAACAAGGTGAAATCTCTTTGAAATTGTTCATAGTATGCTTTTATCACACTTGGCGGGCTTGTACTTGCCATGTAAATGTTCCTTTTGTTATTTTCTATCCCTTCAGAACCTGATAAAACAAAAATCTTGAAATTATATTTATTCATCCGTTCAACGATCGTAAGTTTTGATATTTCACTCGGTTAATAGAGTAGAAACAATGAAAAAAAAATTCTTTAATTAGAACACACCGGACCCATATGGTATAATATTATTTATTTTGGGTTAGACTTCTACAGTTTTAGAATAAAGTCTAATTTGGGATTGGTTACTATCCACCCTAAGGTCCAAAGTTTGTGACCAGTTCCAAGGTGACGTTAGATTTTGGATGATGACTCTTATTCCACTAGCTTGCACCATCTCATCGGATGTGGTATCCACACCACGAGGGTTAGTGACTCTGATACAATTTTTTAATGTCAATATTATTCGCTTTCGACTAGACCTAACGGCTTAAAATATTGTGACACAATAAATATGCTAAAAAGGAAAAATAACGCAAAACAAAATGTCTTATTCTTTTTTACCTGGGATAGCCATTGAAGACTATAAGAAGAATGGACGAAATGCAGACTTCCTGTAGCAAAAAGCTTACCATAGAATGAACCAGGAACTCAAGTGAAAAAACAAGGTCCAAATCCAGATCCCCTCTGGTCTCTCAGTTCTCCCTGGAACTTTGGCAACGACCGAAAAATCGTGTTAAAATCGCTTCCCGGAAGATCATTTTAGAAGATTTGAAACTCCAGTGACTGATCTCCCATTTTCTGACGTAGTTTTTCAACTGTTTTGATGAGTTCAGAGACCACTGGCAAAGTGTTTGGACCAGAGGAACAACCCAAGTGTGCAATGGATAAGATTTTGGAGAAAGTACTGCTGTAGAGATCAGTTATGGCTTCTTCTGTTATCGGCTTTGGTAATAGATAGCACCTTTGCTGTACACAATACAACATTAACCAAGTCAATCTTCTAGAAGAAGAAATGTCAAACATAATAATAATAGTATTCTATTGCTTGCATGATCTTCAAATTTTTACTCTGCTTTCTTACATATTGGAAGTCTCACATTATTACATTCTGTGTTTTGGGGGGTGGTACGTTAAAATTTCATGAAGGGATCCAATTTGTGTTAGATTGGTAATGAAACTTATTTTATAGTAAGTTTTGCCACTAAACTAACACCAATTGTGGGATCATTTCGACATTCCATAAATTTTGAATATTTGTATGGAAAAACTACTTCTCTAGGAGTCTGTAAAAAGAACATATATGTTAATTCAACAATAATGATTAATTAGTATTTTTTGTTTGTTAAAGTTGACATTACTTTAAAACACATTATACCGTGAAAATTCAAAACTCAAATTTGTAGAACTACTCACACGCATCACCAAGCGACGGAAAATTTGATCACCGGATACAAATTTCTCATGTGTGACATCTAATATGATAAAACTATCAGTACAACCATAGCAAGATAAACTCGAATTACTTAGTGGAACATGTTTGTCGATTTCCGGTTCATGACTAATGCCATTGAATTTAATCATGCATATTGGTACTTTCATATTGTGTGTGTGCTCTTTTTTCATATCACATGATGCTATCTGGTCCATATCGCAANTCACTACATCTAATATGATAAAACTATCAGTACAACCATAGCAAGATAAACTTGAATTACTTAGTGGAACATGTTTGTCGATTTCCGGTTCATGACTAATGCCATTGAATTTAATCATGCATATTGGTACTTTCATATTGTGTGTGTGCTCTTTTTTCATATCACATGATGCTATCTGGTCCATATCGCAATACAATGTTGTAAATACTCACATTGCCTTGGATCTTTTCTTTTTAATGAAGGAGAAGACTACCCAAAAACAAAAAAAAAAATTCACAATCATTCTGCCAAGTTTTATAAGTTTTGTGATTTGAAATACAAGTGTTTTGGGTTTATTTATTGAGCGGATTAATGCAATACTAGAAGAATATCTCAGGCATTATGTCACAACAAATCATGAGAATTTGGTAAATTTACTTAATGTCGCCTAATTTAGCTATAATTTGTATTAAAGTTAGAATTACAATTTTTTTAGATCCATTCACAACTTTTGAAGTATTTTGGAATCGCTTTTATAATTGTTAAGATCGCTTTTGACAAAATGACCCCAAAACTTTTGACCGTACTTTTCTACTTCAATAAAAGCAAAATTTGAGATGAAAACGTGCATGGCAGTGGGTAAGGGCTCCAGTTATGACTATGAGGTGTTCATTACATGGACAACTGTTTGAAATTCAACTAGTGAAAAGTATAAAGGCTTTGGGCTAGACTACGGTACATCTCTTTGAATTTTCGGTATGGTACTTAAAATCTTAGGCAACTAAAAGATAAAAAATACACTGCAAAATGATGCAAAAATGAACACATATAAAGCAAAAGTAGGACAATTGCATTGACCTGTTGCTCACTTATAATGTACAACAATGATGGATGAATGATGTATTACAACAATGAGTGAGTCACTTTTCTTGTTAGATGAATTATGGAAAACAATGAATTTTCAATTCCATACCAAAAATCCAAGAGGATGTATCGTAGTCTGGTCCCCCTTTCTAATTAGTACAACATAACAACGTGTTACTTGGTCTTGTCCTCGTGTTTTGGTGCTTGACGTTAAGTGATCATTGAGTCATGATTATGATACATTTACATAATACCTAAGTTGAAAGTTTGAATCTGCAATTGAAAAATAAAATTTTGGTATTATATTAATATTTATTATATTTATGATTATTTTTATTATTGTCGTGGTACAAAAAAGAGTGATAAAAATAATTATCATAATAATAATAAAAACACACAAAAATTATAAAAAGACTCACCAAAGTGGTAAATCACCTATAAAAATTATAATTTTTTTTGTAACAATTAATAGTGATTAAAATAATTACCATCGGGTTCTCTGAAATCGATTCTACATTATCATCAACCCTATCTTCATTACTAAAATCATCAAATAATTGATCTTGAGCAGCGTGTATTCTAATGAGATTTAGTATTGCAAACCCTAGCGGGTTCGATGAAAAACATAATGTATTTGTTCCAATTTCACAACATGAAAAAAAACACCATTATCACGTGAGGCGGTGCATATCTGGATTTACTCAAAGCTGTGTTTCTCATTCAAAATGTCCCAATTTGCAACTTCTAACCAAATGTACAGCCTAATGCAAAGCTAGAAAGAAGAACACATTTTCCCAACTAATTCAAAACGTTCAAACCAGCAATTTCACAACCCAATGCATATCTAATCCAAAAAAAAAAAAAATCAAATTTAACCGAAAAAAAATTATATCTAACCCAAAAAAATCAGATTTAAATATAGTTGATATATCTAACACACAAAAAAAAGACAAAGAAAATCATATCTAACACAAAAAGAAAAAGAAAAGAAAATCAAATCTAACGCAACAAAACAAATATAAAAAGGAAAATAAAAATCAGATTTATACACATCAAAAATTCTAACACACAGAAACAAACCGGAATTAACATACATATCTAATACAACAATCTAGCTGCTGAGAAAGGGAGATCGAAAGATATCCAAAAATAGGAAAAAAAAAAAAAACTTTGAAAACACTAGATCTATGCGAATGAAACTAATGACATAGGTGAGAGAGCTTTAGATGTAGAGACAGAAAGAGAAAGAGCATCTGGACGAGAGAGACGATCATTACAATTACTGGACTAGAGAGACGAAGAAAACCAGGTAGAACAACGGAAACCAAACGATGAAGACTTATTTTGTCGCTAACAAAGATCAATNAACTTTAGATGTAGAGAGAGAAAGAGAAAGAGCATCTGGACGAGAGAGACGATCATTACAATTACTGGACTAGAGAGACGAAGAAAACCAGGTAGAACAAAGGGAACCAAACGATGAAGACTTATTTTGTCGCTAACAAAGATCAATGGTAGGATCTCATTAAATGGGAGGAGCACCCCTCCACCCATTTCCCTTTTTTTTTTTTTTTTTTATAAACAATTTTTTTTCGTTTTCAAAATCTGAGGCAAATTTCAAAACAATTTTATTTAAAAAAATACTAAAAAGATTACCAAACGAGTTTAATTTCAGGTTTTCTAAAAAATTAAAACCAAAAACAGAAAAATTAGAAACATAATCATTACCACCAAACGGACCCTTAACTTTGGGTTAATTTGTGACTCTATATGATTTTTATTCTATTGTTTATATATGATATTTTACACATGTTGATTTTTTTTAGATCATATAGATAAAATCTTGTTGATTTATTATGACAAATAATGGGTATAAATTATTTTCAAATTATATAATTCAAGAAAGGAAAGAAATTAAGAATAATTGTTATTTCATATAAAAATCGATGTTTTGAATGCTCAGATTTTATATTGCACTGTTCCTTCAGACACAAATTATGACTAGTGTATACATAGTTGTAACTATTATGGATAAGGTTTAAAATTGTTTGTCACTTCATTTCTCGAAATAGGATTAATTTGACAATAAAACTAAATTTTGTCATAGGCAAGTGCATATTCAAACTGATTCCACCAGATCAAATCACGTTAGTTGCATTTGGCTCACTTAAAAAATGAACTTAAATTTAATCAAATTCGATTCGTTTTGCAATTTAATCAACACTTGAAGAAGTTGAAACTGCACCAAATCCAAATCATTTGACACTCTACTTATCCCC